GGGGCTATGCGGGTGGGACAGATAAATGGAGGCGTAAATGGCGCTTGTAGGGTATGCCTGGAAGTGACGTTCCTGGCAAAATGGAAGCCCAATTTAAATAAGGTGAAAAATGCAAGGAAGGTATAGAAATAAGCATGGATAAATAGTACGGTATGCGGAATAAACGCATCCTTGTCCCAGATTGGAAAGAATAGCAAGTGAAGGCGAACAACCAGTAGAAAGAAGGCAGTGTATCTTAAGGTCATTCCGCAGTATGTGCGATAGTACTTTAACCGACAGAATGGACATGAGAACACGAGAGTCAAGCAGCGGCACGCAGGACGGCATAACACAAGCGGGATAAGACTTTAATGCGAAAAATATGTTTGGGCGAAAGAGAAAATCTGCAAATAATAGTGTATTGTCACTGTGGCCACATCTAGGATTAAAACTATGGCAGTAGTTGTTTGCTATACGTGAATGGTGTACTATACAATGTAAAGAGTAATTGGCACTCTGTATATGAAGTTACACTTTGTTCTGCTTGCAGAGCCCAGTCTCTTGGAAGGCGAAGGAAAGCAGGACCGCAAAAGGATAGGCCGAAAGATTATTCGCGGATCCTGGAAATAATCCAGTCGTCCTACCTAGTGCAGTATCTCCAGCAGAAAGGACTACTGACCTGTAGGGTCTTATGTAGATGTCGAAAGGTCATGCCCTTAAAAATACTGCGACAGCACACGGATGGTTATGCCTTCAGGTAACATCTGGGTACTGTGGTATGCGGCCTAGGATAGTACCTCTAAAATGAACCAGATACAGGTAACACAGTGCGCGCATGCAATTAGGGGCATAATGAGAAGCATGATGAATCATAATCCGCCTAGGATAAATCTTTCGCCCTTTACTAAAGATTTCCGTGTGGGTGTGCAATACAATGAGTCTATGTAGACATTTTTGCAGCGCCTCGTTCTCGGGGTGGTTAAAGTGAAGAAGAAAGTCATCCTGACTGGGCTTTTGCGCGTGCACTCCCAGACATGATGGGAAGGTAATCACGGAGCTTGAAATCGAGCCAGTAAGTACAATTGTAGAATCAGTGGGCAGGGCTACCAACTACCATCCTACCAACACCTCAATCATCAGAACGCAGCTTCTAACTGCCAGCCATGACACAGGACGCCCTGGCAGTGAGGTCCAAGATTTCCCCCTGCCTACGATTAAAGACGGTAGGAGCAAACACTAATGAGCTAAATTCCCGTAAGCATCCCAGTCATAACAAACGGAACAACACCGTCACCACCACCAGCGGTGTAGACACTATGTCTCCTTTGCGATTGCGAATGAAGGTGTCCACCAAGTGCCTCACAGCATGGCGGGTGCAGGGACGGCGAGTTGCGTGTGAATTAGTTTATAGCGATATTAGACTTGCGCTAACACCCCCACTCCCCTCTCAGCCACCTGAGTCGAGTGTCAAGACAGAGTCCAACAGACCGAAGACCGAGGCCACAGCTAAATGGGAGTGCCACAGAGGCCACATTATGACGGAGTCTGACTCTCAGTCCTGAGAGGAGAACCGAGTTATCCCGTCAGTATTCAGCCTTCCAAACCATGGTTTTTAGCGCACCGTGATAGTTTAAAAGAGCGTCAGATTGCTAGTAGTGAGAAATATGTGCTGAGTACAGTAGGGACGCAGTAGGGAATCGAATTCATTCTCTCTTCCCTCCTCCCAGTCGCAAGTCCACCGTCCGAGTCGGTCAGTCACGTGATGCGGCGATTCGGTGCGCCGGCAGACAGCCCGTCTGCGCAGGCCGCACACGCGGCCTGGTCTCCCGCACAACACGCCAGGTTATCACACAGAGGTGGTTGGTAGCTTGATTCGTTCTCTTTGGAAGGTCATTGTGCTTAGAGTGCGCGTTATCCGCGGTTCCTTCCTGTGCTCTCAGTGGGAATGCGCATATGAGAGGCCGAAAACCTAACGCACACTGGCGGAAATCCTAGAAAGTAATAACTGCATTCTGTTGGAATTGCATGGTGTTGAATTTCGAGTAAACTTCGTTCCGAAGGCGTATAACTACGTCCTCCTTTTCGGCGCGCAAGGTTCCATATTGTAACGAATGAATGTATGCGCATCAGCAGTCTGCGTATGCTCTGCTGAGACATTATTTGGAAGTGTTTTTCTTCCGCAATGTGGCGTTGTCGGACGACTCACACACTGCAATTCATGTTACTTCTCACCAGAACGGGAGAAAGTAGACGTCAAGAACGTAAACATGATTCTGCCCCTCTTCCCACAAAAGCGCCACACAACGCAGAGATTTTTCAACCTCGACCGTATTTTTTGAATTTCAACTAGTTTCAGATCCTTGCCATGCGAATTGAAAGGCAGGTACAACAAAAACCACCCGAATTCTGCATTACCTCTGTGCTTTGCACTTTTAATTCACAAAGCCCGCCAAAATCTTTCAGGAGGCAACCAAAGGCATGCCAGCAATGCCGACGATGTTGATGCAGTCGCCGACGTGCTGGTTCATCGTTCCGCAGGCCGGAAAAAAGCCGACAAACGAATCGAAAGCAGTCAACCGGTTGTGCTGGGAGGGTAGTTATGGTAAGATGCAGCAGTAAATAGTTGAAATGTTAGTGACCGGTAGGCCGACAACGCAGCGGCATCCCAAGAGCTAGTTCTGGCGAAATTCGGTCACAGCGGGTGAAGTCAGTCCATTAAGCAATTTCGAAGAGCTTGTAAAGCAGGTTAAAGTGAAGAACAGGAAGTAGCCAAAGCCAATACATGCTGGCTAAGAAGGGGGACATCGGACGGCTCCTTC